AGGTGGTGCAGGCTCCTACCCTGGGGGGTTTTAAGATGAGGTTAGATGAACACCTTGCTGGGGTTGTTTGACCCCAGTACTCTTTCCTGCCATGGCAGGGGGTCGGACTAGATGATCTGCTAAGGTCCCTTCCGACCCTAGAAACTATGAAACTATGAAAATACAAGCTGAAACATTAGCCCATTAGCTTCAACTTAATACTCCAGTCCATTGCCTGTCTAAAATCTTCTGTCTGAACAGCATCTACTTTGCCGTAAGACATCAGTTCCTTTAAGGACTCTTCCCAGGAAAACAGAACCTCCCTCTGGCTCTCCTTAGCAGGCAAGTCGCTGTAGAGCTCTTCCCTCTTCAGTCTCCAGAGGCAGACTGCCCCCTCTCTGGCTTACGGCCTGCCTTTATACGACTCCCTGGCTTCTCCCCCTACTAGTCACCTGTCTCCCTGAGCTGCTACAAGTCAGTGTTGCCGAGTCCACTTAGAATAGAATTGTATAGCAGAATTGGGCTTTTGTTAAAAGAATTATAGCAGAATTGGGCTTTTGTTAAAAGTTGCTTTAGTTTTTTGAGAGTCATGGGTTGATAAGCACCCCCACTACCCTCTCTTTGAAATGGAATGGGCTTATTTTGGACTTGTTTTTAAAGGCAGTGTTGTTTTTTTTTAATCATGAGACTTGGCAACACTGCTACAAGTGTTTTCTGATTTGGTTTGCTGGAGTAGGGAGGTCCCTTGCTGCTGAGCCCTGTGGTGTTTCTCTGCAAGCCCCCAGCCCCTGATGTTGCTGTCACTGCTGGCTCTGTAGTAAGTGTTCATGTGAGTCTTTTCCATCCTTAAATCTGCACCTGGGGGCTTGTCTGGCTCAGGGTTTGCTTCCCCTTCTAAGTAATGGGTAGGGGCCCCGTTACAGTAACATGAAAAGAACAGCAAACTTTCTGAACTAAAAAAAAAATGTATTTTATTGTCAGAACAAATGCAAAAGCAGAGAGCACAAACTGGAGTAAAACTTCAAATCTTGCGCATAGGGAAAATGAAGTGCAACAGGGCCTTAGGAATGTGAAAGCAGGGAAAGGTGCTAACCCACAGGAGTAGAATGTGAGTGAAAGGTTGGAAACTATGTACATGTTCAAAAGTATTTATAAGTAATGAATAGCATGCAGGCCAAAGGGCCCTTCAAAATGAGGCAACAATCACTGCTGCTGAGGACAGACTGACTGTTGCACTGACTGACTGTTGTAAGGCTGAGGTGCCTGAGAGCTGGACTGACAGGCATTAAAAGCTCACATGGAGGTAGGATACAAAAAGATACCAGAATAAAGTGTTCTCTAGTGGCTGCTCTATATTCAGTGAGTGCAGCTCTGCTGGGGTCATATCAGTTCAGTAGAGGGATAGGTGTTCATTATACCAGAGGAAGCTAAGTGCTGCAGCTGTTTCATTGACTCAAGCAGTGGCACCTTGTAGACTGTATCTTCTATTAAGGAGGATTGTATTTGCATCTCAAACTGGATGTTCCTGCAGATTGTGCCCACTGAAATGGCCTCTGTATCAACTGTGAAGACTGCCAGGCTCTTCCCAACCAGTTTTCATGCCTGCTTTACCACCTCTCCACAGGTGTCAGAGGAATCCACCAGCTCCCCCAGCATCTTCTCTTTCCTTCTATATTTGCTAGGTGCTTGGCTGCTGTCAGCACTTGTGAATGTGAGGTACTTGAGATGCAGGTGCCAAGCCTAGAGGGTGAGAAATACAGTAAATGTTGTCCTTGTTCTCGTCTCAGTTTCACAGATAAAGCCTCAGTGTCCCCACAGTTTCTTGGATACAACCATGACTCTCCTGACATTTTTGGGGAACCATGATCCTGTCCCTGACTAGCTTCAGGTGCCCTGGGTAAGTGCTCAGATGCTTCAGAGTGCGGGGAGGAGAGGAGAGTGGGACTTCTCTCTGTTTCATTACTCCACCCTTGCACGTGCTCCACTCAGTCCCCAGAACCAGCAAGCACCAGCAGTGGGGGTGGCCTGAGATGGAAAACAAGGCACCATGTTGGTGATTATTCTTGTAGTTTCAAAGGCAGTCCAAACTCTGGGGGACACAACCCTAGCCTGTGTGGTGTAAGGACAGCATAAATATTGTTTTGAAAAGGCTAAAGGGAACCCTGCAAGGTATGCCTTCATGCTATTCACTAGGATGGTAACCCAGGGGACCTTCAGGGAAGGGAAGGGATGGCTACTTATCTGGAAACCAGGGACAAGCCAGCCCTCTCTGGCAAAGTTAAAGCTTGGGTGTAATGCTACCTGCATTTCAAGTGCAGTTTATATGATCCAGGTCCATGGAGTACAAATACCAGCTTAGAGTGACTGGACGACAAGCATGCTTTTGCTCTCTGGAAATAGCTTTTTAGGGTTTGAGGAGGTGTTAACAGTATGTATGTATGCAGACACAGGTCTGCATTAGTGAGTCTATGATGGAGTGAAATTCTGTTTCTTGCTGATGTTATTATGCTCATAATCCCATAAAAGCTATTTAACAACCAAAAGTGCATCACTGAATGAATTACTTCTCTGTTTTGAGTCTGGTTCTCCTGGAAGGGGGAGGGCAGCAGCCATGCATTGGAGCCAACTCTCAGGGTGTCTGAAACAACCACAGGTAGCAGCCTACCTAGACCAGTCAGTGCTTTGCCCACAAGCCTCAGCAGTCAGCCTCTTCAGGAGGCAGAAGAAGGGAGAGTTTGTGAGATGGTTGCAGAATGAACATTGCCTGTACCTGACCCGGATGACCCTGCCAAAGGTCAGCAACATAAATAAATGCAGGCTGATCCAAAAAGCATGCACACTTACTACCATTGGCTGCATCTCCACTGCTGATGGGGCTGGATTTGAGGGTGGCAGGCTGGCTTGCAGGACACTGAGCTGAGGTGAGTTGGGTTTTACCAGTTGGAGGGGCCTCCAGTTCCTCCCTGGAACGCAGAGATGAGTAGCTGGGATCCTGGTCTTGGCTTTCTGGGATCACCTTGCTCTCACAGTCTGCCATGTCACTGATGCAGGCCTCATCCAGGTCAGTACCAGACCCAGCCGTAAAGTGTGCCCTGATACTGCTGTCCATAGACAGCATCCTTTCAAAGTCATCATGATAAGGAACTATTGTAAGGTGTCTGAACAGCATCTGGCCTCTGGATTATTTGTATCATTGCTTAATGTTCTGTGCCTTGTAGTGACTTTGCTGACTCTGCTCCGGGGCTCCTTTAAGCCATTTAGACAGCAATGAAGCCATAGATAGCCTGGTTTTGGTGATTCATGTTCAGGGTCTACTATATCTGCCTCTCCCTGGAGCATAAGGAGATTGAAGACCATTGCACAGTTCCAGCTGCTGGTAGAACATGCTGGAGCAGGTATCCTCAAGAATGCACACAAAGTGGTCTTGGATGTTGAAAAGAAGAAAGTATAGGGAAGGTGCCCAGCAAAGGTCCTTGTTGTATTCAGCCCGAGTGTAGTGAGAAACAAGATGACCCAAGTCACTGGTGCAGGTAAGAGTACCACCACCACGCTGGCTGACACAGAATGTCATGTGGACATAAAGTAAAAGTGTAAATCAGTTGGGAACCATAGATTCAAAGACAAAAAGTTCAACCTCAGATTCTCATAAGCACATTCAAGTATCTCACAGACCTTGTCTCTGGAGCCTCCTGTCAGTATTTAAAGGGAGAAGGTTGTGTCTGGTTGGACACTAATCCCAGGGCAAAGGTGACCAGAGCTTTTAAAAGGATGTAAATCAGGGTGGGATAGCACCTGGCTAACAAACTGGCTGCAACAGGAGGACCAAGGACAAACTAAAACCTAAAATAAAACTTATGAAAGTGAGATGGTTTCAGCCCTTAAGTAAAATATGCCACTAAGGGGACAAAGCCAAGTCAGCTTTAGGTGCCGGGTCACAGATCACACCCCTTTTGAGGGGAAGCTGTCTCAGAAAGAAGCTGTGTCTGATTTCCCTCTCCTGAAGTATCCCCCAGGGACACCTCTTTGTCCTTGGCTTCCCTGGCAATCTGTAGCACCTCCACCTGAGAGAGCTCCTTCTTTGCTCCAAGTGGGAGTGCTTTCCTGTTCAAGGAGGAATGTCAAGAGTGCCGGCTTCCCAAAGAGCACAGCAGACCACCCTGCTCCAGACCACTCTGCTTTATTGCTCCCTGTCCTCCCTGAGACCACTCCTTTTTTCCCTCAGCTCTCAGAACCTCTCACCTCTTCAAGCGCAGTCAGCCACACTTGCAACAAAACTGTTGTAAAGCTACTAGCAAACTGCCCGTCAAGAATGATGGGCAGGGACAGAGGTCTTCATTCGCCCCACCACTCCCCACCCCCCAGCCTGGGCTGGGGCCACTCCCCAGCTCCACCCCTGCCGCTTCAGGCCAGGTGCTCCCCCGCTCCCCTCCACCGCTTCGGGTCAAGCTGGGGCTGGGTCAGGCTGGGGCTGGTCCCCTCCTCGCCCCCCGGGGCCATTGGCCACCTCACCTCCACCACTTCAGGCCAGGGCCGGGGCCGGGGCCAGGACTGGGGCAGGAGCCAGTCCCCACCTCCCCTTGCCGCTTTGGACTGGGGCTGGTTTCCCCCCCCACCACTGCTTTGGGTCAGACCAGGCTAAGCCAGGGTCATGCCTGCTCTCCCCCTCCCCCCCTGCTGCTTCAGGTCGGATCTGGGGCCTTGCCCCCCCATCCATCCGTCACCACTGTTGCCTCAGTCTTCAGGGGGGTGAGGCCAGCTGGTGCAGCTCCTGTCTGAACACTCACACTCTCATTGGTTGTTTCAGACAACCAATCAGAGTGCAAATAAAGTGTTACAGACAGACAGACTAAAGCTTTTATAATATTAGAATAATACTAACCCAGGAGCTAACACTCATCCAGTCAAATGGCTCGTTGGGGGAAGGGGAAGGGGAAGACGAGGGTGGAGGAAACATTGGACTGCCAGACGAAGCAACACCCACAAGTACAGCCCAGCCTAGACCAACGA